ATGAGCTGGAGCTGTTGCAGCTGCCTTTTATATTCCCATGACTTCCACTTCCTTTTCCCAAACACAAGCTGCCCAGCACATGGATTGGAAGCCTTAGAGCTCTGTCCATAACCCTACATGCCCAGTGGAGTTGTAAGGGTAGTCCCTGCTGTCTCTCGGTGGGTCAGCTGAGTAGCAGAGGGGCCTTGATGAACCATCAAGCAGGCTAGGCAGTTCATTACCAGACTCTCTGTGGGTGTCACCCAGAAGCCCAGCCTGTAATCCAAACACACATACATTCAACCCCCCACATACCAGGGTGATGCAAACACAGAACTGCGGGTATCCGCTTTGGCAGATTTTAACAATTGTACAGATCTTACTTGGCCCATCTGGCATTACTCGTTGCCATTCTAGAATATAGCTAGTCAGAATATCCTCAAGTGCCCACCAAATTCCACACCACCTCCCTCCTGCCCATCCGCTTGCACTATTACAGATCCCCCAGAGGGGAGGCCGTGCAGTCCGTCAGTTACCCAAACCATGGGCATTCCCAGGGAGCTCCCCCAACTCAAAACCGTATGTTCACACTTCACTTGCCCCAGGACATTTGTCTAAGTGATTCTGCACCATTAATGGATCGATCCTGGCCCGGCTCATGACTGGCAAGCCCAGATAGAAAGGGATTGTAAGGCAAAAGATTAGGTTCAGCTTGCAACCCACTCCCTCAGCATTCCTGTTTGGGATTCTGTGGAGGGCAAAAATCCAAGCCTACTGGCATCTGCAGAATCCAGAAGACAATTGAGTTGCAAAACAACTTCTGTCCAAAGAGCAAATATGTTTTCACTGAGTTCTATGCAGTCAGATGTTAGGTGGAAGAGACTTACTATAGATCTAGTCCCTCTGCCAGTGCAGGATTTCCCCCATGGCTCCGGTTCATCCCTGTTATGATTTCAGAATGAAAGTGGCCCCAAAACTGGTGATAAACATGTCAAATAAACACACCTAAAAGCCTCAGATTATTGCATCTTAAGAAAAAAACCAGCAGCTTCCAGTCGCTATTGTGATAAATTGTTTTTACTGTCCAACACTGTGTTGGATGAACATGGTTGTTCATATTACTGAACTTAATCCATAATTTGCCTGCCATTGGCATACTCATCTTTTCGTACATATCCATATGTGATTTTATGCATTTGACAGGCTAAAAACAGCTTGTAAATCACCGAGAGTTAAATTTACTCCCTGCAACATTACTTCCTAATCTCTAAAACATATCGGGGGAGAGCTAGAGGGTGACCTTTGGCATCATAAATCTCAGGAAAGGTTGACATGGAAGTGACCTCAAGAAAAACTGAACGCAGAAATAGGTATTTGCCCTCCAGTACCAGAAACACCTTCCATTGGTAAACACCTTCCACTCTGCAGTCGCCAAGTAAAAGGAGACATCCTAAATTGGAACATGGCAGGTAAAATGCCAGTCCTGCGCACACATGCTTACTCTGTGAATTTGCAATTCTCCGTGAAGTCCCTGACACTATTCAGATGCCTAAAATTAAGCACCAGCTGTGTGCAAGTATTTGCAGAATTGGGACTTAATACTGCATCTCTGGATAGGCTGTGAAAACAATATGGCATTCAATATGGCCAAACCCCCTGCACCACCATGCAGTGAATGGAAGATTTGCTGTTTACTTCAATAGGAGAAGAATCGGCCTGTAAACCAGAGGGGATAGCTTGGATGGCAGAATGTAACTGAAGTAGAAAATACTGCATACACGCTAGGGTTAGAGGCCCTAACCATGGGAAAAGGGCCATGTTTTGAGAGTGAAGGTATTACTAGGTTACTGACTTCTACTTAGGCCTTTTATTACAAGCCCACCACCAGTCTGATAGGTTACAACAGCATCTGTGAAGCAGAGAAGATGCACAAAACTGCAGTAAGTAGACGAGCTTTCGTTCCCAGATCACCAAATGCTCCACAGAAACTTACTGAAGTGAGCGGCTAAGGAGGGTTTTAGAGCAACCAAACTCGAAATGTTAGACCAAGGACAGGAGATCTATCACTGGGGAGCACAACAGCCCAGAGGACCAATCTAGGGCTGAGAAGGAGAATTGTTTCTCAGCAAGAGAGCGGAGATGCCAATTGGAACCCAAGGGATACAAACCTTCCTCTCTTTGGGGCTATAATGGGACCGAATAGCCCCAAGGCCCTGTTCCCACGCGGGTCCAGCTGCACAAAAGATGCAAAGCCAGCTGGCTGGCCCAGCCTCGCCCCAGGGATAGTGAGCTGGAGGGAGCTTCTGCTGTCGCCACGTGGGGGGAGCCTGGTGCCCGCTGGTGGGGGAGGGGGGGGAAGGTGAAGGGAGGAGCAGCCCTTGAATGGGGACGCGTTCCCTGATTGGTGCTCTGAGGCAGGCACCAGCCAATCCGCCTGCTCCCCCGAAACGCTCCGCAGCTCCCCGTGCCCCGAAGCCTGCGCAGAAATCTTCGGACCACTCACTGCGCGCAGCGCTAGTGGGCGGGGACAAGGGGAGACGGGGCGGAGCCTAACCACCCCAGCAGCCAGTGAGATGGGCGGGGCTTTGGATGCAAATCAGTGGAATGTGATTGGACCCTCGCTGCCGGGGGCGGTGCCGGTGGGTTCACAGCTGGACGGGGCCGGTGCCTGGGCTGGGGCGCGCAGCTGGAAATAGGGCGGGCGGAGCGCGCAGAGCCGGGGAGCAGCTGGCTGGGGGCGCCTGCTGCCTGCCATAAAGTGAATGGCCACAGTGAATGGGAGTCACTCGACGGGAATCCGCCTCTGCTCGCCTCTCTCCATGAGTCCCAAGCCAGCAGAGCGCACCGTGCCCAGCAGCGAGCCAGGGGGACTTACCGTCTGACCTGCGCGCAGGAGCCCGGGCGTCGGGGCGGGGGCAAACTTCCCCCCTTGGCCCAGGATTAAACCAGCCGGCAGCTCCAGCATCTGGAACCGCTGTAAGTGCGCCCCCG